CAGCCTTATATTGAAAGGACCCTCTAAGCAGTTCCAGGACCTTGCGAGGCACACTCGCCAGCTACCAATGCGCGGAGGCCCGTTCTGGACTCTACGGAGGAGCCACTGCGAGTTCTGGCACCTCTTCTGCGCGGAGCTTGGCACTCTTGCTCTCGCCTCGGGCAAGCAGGACATCTTCGTCCAGGCTGTCGAGAGTTGGGAGCCCATTCTTGGAGAACTGTTCGATGTTTATGTTAAGAAGGAGAGGAAGGAGGCGACGGAGAGATGGGAGAACTGGTGTGAGGAGGCATTAGCTGGAGGAGCCAGACGAGGACATAGCAGCACTAAGGTTTCAGGAGGAGGTGTTGAGGACACTGTCAAACATCCAGATGGAGCCCGTTCGTCTGCTTTTGGTCTACGTTTTCAGGAGCAACATGATATTTGGAGTAAGGCCTGGGGGGTCCACGAGCCCCGCGCGCAGCTGCAGGGCCCCTTGGACGCAAACTACAGGATTCCCCCAGGCCCCTCTGGAGACCAGTTACGTAAGATGTCGTCTAAGTTCAAGATGTTCACCACTGCTGTGGACGGGTACCACCCCAAGCACTTCTCGCAGCTCTCAGATGGAGCCCTTGAGGTCATGGAAGGCGTCTTTAACGTCATGAACATCCTAGGTTAGCAGCCCGTCAGCGTTGAAAGAGCTTGTTGTTGCACTGTTCCGCAAGGCGACTGGAGGTCGAAGGCCCATTGGGTTTTTCAAAAGCTTCAGCCGTATGTATTCTAAGAACCTGGCTCACCACTGCCGCGAATGGGAACGGGTCTCGGCAAAGTCTAAGCACTTTAACATGGCCCCTCATAGACATACCACAGATTCAGTTTGGAGGGCGGTGGTGAGAGGCGACATAGCAGCTCACGCAGGTAAATTTGTTGCAATGCTATTGGCAGATTTGAAGCAGTGCTACGAGCACATCGGCCATCACACCATGCTCAGAGAGGGCATGCGCTGTGATTTCCCTCTGTTCGCGCTGAAGGCGGCGCTCGACTCGTACAGGTGGCCACGGCGGCTACTCATGGATAATGTTGTTGGCGAGCCTCTCCACCCCACCAGAGGGATCGTAGCTGGCTCTTCTACGGCGACGTTCGAAGTAAAAGGATATATGATTCCGACGATCCACGACACGACGATCAACGATGGCACGTCCCTCTCGATACATATCGACGACTTGGCGTTCGACTCGGTAGGTTGCACTGTCGAGACTTGCCTTAACGGCTTGGCGGATCTGGCTGCTAGAACATTTCATAAGTTCACTTACACCCTCGAGCTCCCCATCCATATGAAGAAGCTAAACTTCACGGCTAACCACCTCGAGGTCTTGAAGCAGGCTCCTGGGGCTCTTGGGGAGTATTCGGGGCTCATCAAGAACTCCATCACCAACCTGGGGGTTGACTATAACGTGGGTAGGATCAGGGCAGCCAAAGGATGCAGATCGAAAAGATGGCCAGGTGGAAGAAGAACATGAAGCGCCTCCCCAAAATCAGTCGTCTTCGGGATCGAAAACAAGGCAAGCCCAAAAAGGTCAAAATCTACACTTGCGGAGTTAAGCCCTCAATATGCTATGGGGAAGAAGTTTCAGGACATTCACCTCAGGAATTATATAAGCTTCGAGTTCAGACGGCACGGCTTCTCGGCATTTGGTCGCCTGGCTGTGACATCAACATTTGTTGGCTCTTGAAGCCTGTTGCCGACCCCATCTTCCACGCCAGCGCGACCCTCAAGCGGTACTGCAGGGAGTGGTGGATGACCACCGACAGTCAGATCAAGGCGCCCGATGCTCTCAGCCCGAAGGACCTTCGCCAGAGTTATGAGTTCTCCCAGAGGTTCTATGAACAAGTACCTCAGGCTAAGAGTTGGGCTTACAAGGTTAGGAGCCCGCTCACGGACTCCCTCTTCTGGGCAGAGCAAGCGGGCTGGATTTTCAAAGGCCCCGCGACGGTCAAGACCAGCAATGAGCTCGAGCTCAAGATCACGGAGTCTTCACCTGCTCTAATTCAGAAGCTGTTCACGGCAGATCTTAGACAGAAGTTTTTGGAACGGTCGGTTCATAAAAAATTACAGTATCCCGAGGGCCCCGATGAGGACATCCATCCCAGGGCCAAGGAGATCAGGATACGAGGTTTGTGGGGTTTCCCTTTCAGCAAGGTCTGGAACAGCAACAAGTGGAGCTGCGAATCAAAGAGGTGCTTGAGAAATTTAATAAGCAGCACGACCCCCACCAGTCATCTTCTCTGGAAGCGTGGCTTCAAGGTGGAACCGACCTGCCCGCGCTGCGGCCTGTGCGACACAGTCTTTCATAGGCTATGGCACTGCCCTCACGGGGACTCAGCACGTGAAAAGGTGGACCCAGTCATTGTCGAAGCGGCCCGAAATTCGGCTGGTAAGGACCCCTTATACACCCAGTTGTGGATCCCCGTGCCCGAAATCAAGACCTTTCCTCCTGATGATTATATAGTTGAGTATTACGACAGGGTCGGCGAAATTGACGAGTTCGATTTCACGTGCCCCACCGAGATCTTCATCGATGGCAGCTGTCTGGAACCCACGAACCCTTTGCTGGCCCGTGCGGGCTGGACGGCGGTCGAAATCACTGCTGGAGGAGATCTTAAACGTGCGGTCCGAGGTCCCCTCCCCAGGAAGTATCCTCAAAATGCGGCCTGGGCAGAACATCATGGGCCCCTCCAGGGACTCCGTCACCTTTGGCAAGACACAGCAAGATTCGATGAGGAGGCCGGTATTTTTGCAGATTGCCAGGCCCTGCTCACAGGATGTGCTTTTTCGTTCAGAGCCCTCGACGGCACTTCCCAGCAGGCTGGCCATTGGCGAGCTATTCAGAGATTGGATAAGCAGTTTACTATAACAAAAAAAGTCAAGGCCCACCAGACACTCCAGCGTGGAGATCGCGAATGGGCAGAGCAACTACGAGTTATAGGGAATGCCTGGGCAGCTATCATGTGTCGTGAGGCCGCCCGCGAATACGCCTCCCCCAGGATGCCGAGGCCTGTAAAGAGTCCCTAGACGGTTGGTTTGCAGTCTTTAAAGCAGCAGTGTCGATCTTAGAACTCTGGCCCTCAGCCAGAGAGATGCACGGCACGTTGGAACGAGAATCCAAAAGTTTAAGGCCACCCCCCCGAAACCATAGGCATCACAATGTTTTGTGGAACGGCCGTCTCTGGCAGTGCCTCTCGTGCGCCAAGAGCTTCAAATCGCCCCCGTCGCGCGTGAATCGATGTGCTGCCTTTCCTCCCACTTTTGGGGCCCTGGTGCGAGGAGGTGACCTTCCGACTCCTGGCCACAGGTTGTGGGCGTGCAAGGTTGTTGCCACAGGCATTCCCGTCCTGTACTGCTCGAGGTGCGGGTCGTATTGCACCCGCACGCCCAAGCACCTTTTGGGGCCCTGCAATCAATTAAAGAGTGCCCAGGTTCGCTGTTTTCGCCGAGGCACATTGCCTTGCCCTAAAGGCACCCGCCTTACCCGTCCTTGGAGAGTCCTCCACGGTGCTGCCCAGTGGTGGAGGGACTTGGGTGGGGAGTTGGGCGGGGTGAGGGAAGTTCTTCCAGCTGCAGGGCTGCCCGCTGCAGCCGAGTCCGAGTCGGTCCAACCTTCAGGCCAGCTGCCTGTTGTACCTAGTGTTCAGCAAGGCGCCGCGCCCTCTCTCGAGTTTGAGTTTGATGAGGAGGAGGAGGCGTCGAGGTTTCTTTTTGGGCCCCCTGCCGTGGGCGCCTCCGCCCTCCGCGGAGTGAGGGCCGCCTTGACCCAGGAAGAGGACAGGGCCCCCCTCGCTCGTGAATTCAGGCAAGGTTCGGACGACTCAGACTAAGTTTTGCCAGAGGTCAGGCGAGCCTGTTTTTGGCTGACCTCTTAATGCCCATGAATGAATGAATGAATGAATGAATGAATGAAGGACTGTGCCTTCGGGCCCGTGACAAGCCGCACGTGGTTGAAGGCAACGTCGAGACGCTCCAACTTGCGGGCCCAGTTGGGGTTTAGTATGTCGGCCCGCCGAGCGGTTCGGGCTGCCTGCGTCAGCCCTTCATGGTGTTGCCCAGTAGCCGCGCAAACCGCACGCAGTGCTTCGCCGTGGAGGTCGAGCAAGAGAGAAGCCATCGTTGGACAAGATATCGAGACGATTTATGTATGTGCAAAAGCCTTTACGGACGATGCCGACGCCTGAGCAAGCCCGCAGGGCCAGCTCTTGAGCCAAAAATGACTACAAAATCTCCTCCTCCTCCTCCTCCTCCTGCTCCTCCTCCTCTACTCCACCCTTCCTCTCTTCCGTTCCGACATGTACCGCATAATTGTTTGGCGATAGGGCGCCGGCAATATGGAAGGCAACCAACAAACATGGGACGACGGCATCCTGAAACTTCTTCACACAACATGGGCAGACACTGCAACGACGCCGACGCCAGGACCAGACTCGTTCAGCGGCCAAACCACTACAACAAAAGCATAATATCAGCCGCCAGGAGCACTGTCTGTTGGTCACGGCGTGCGTCAGCCATGAGGCCATGGCCCCCACACTATGCCCTACTGGGTTTTGGTCGGGCATGTCCTCCTACAGGCAGATGTTGGACGAACAGTTTAAACACAAAACGCAATAAAAAGTCAAACAAGGTAAGACAGATAATCGAAACATCGCACCCATATATGTTTCGGACTATTTTTGAATAGGGGCAGGCCAGAATTAATGTTGGGCACGGGCGGGCTCCCCAGAAGAGAACGCGCGACCCCAACGCTCGCTTCGCTTCGCTTCGCTTGCCTCTCTTCTTTACGAGTGCCCCCCCTTGCCATTCCTCCCCTCTCAATCCTCCTCCTTGTATGTCGCCCGCCGTCGACGCCGACGACGCCACGGGCGAAGACGAGACAAGGCATCCGCCTGAGCCCCGCCTTCACAGGGATGGCGCGCCCCCTCCCTGGATGCCGAGACGTCGAGCTTCCTGAGGTGCTTCAGGTGGCTCAGGGCCTTCAGCGAACCCTGACGGAGGAGGACCCGATCCCCCTCGCATGAGGGAGCCGTTTTGTACCAGGGCGTTTTTTGTTGTCACCCCCCTCGGGGGCTACTTTTCCTTTGCATGATTCGTTGGTGTCTTGCCCCTCGGGGATCTGCTCTTCCCCTTCGGTGATCCCCTCCCCCCCCCTAGGGGGGGTGGCGCCTGGGAAGCGCCCCGGCTCGATCCTTGCTCCCTCCGGCTTCAGTGAAGCCTCGGATGCGAGCTACTGCTGGGGCTCTTGGGCTCTCTCGAGGGACCGAATTCGGCGCATCCCTCACGCACTTCGTGCCTCGTGGACTTCCAAGCGGGTCTGAGCTGAGCTGGCTCCCAAAACGGCTCCTCGGAGCCTCGATTCGGCAAAACCCTGACGCACTTCGTGCCCCTTGGAAAATTATCCAGAGGGCCCTCAAGAGGGCTGATTCCGGCGCCTTCCTCACGCACATTGTGCCTCATGGATCCCGAAGGGCCTTCATCTGGTCTTTCAAGACGGCTCGGCGGGGCCTACCCGTCACGCACTTCGTGCCCCACAAACCTCCAGAGGCGATCAGCTGGCCCTCAAGGTGGCAGGATCGATCCTCACCGTGGCACACCCATCACGCACGTCGTGCTCCATGGACACCGAAATGCCTTCAGCTGGGCATTTAGACTGCTCAATGGTCCCCCTTCGTGCCCCATAAACCTACAAATGCAATCAACTGTGCCTCAGAATGGCTGAATGGGTCCGAACTCCTGAACAAACCTCATGGACTGTGGCAGATTCAACATAGGATCCGTTCAACAGGGGTCAATTCAACTCAAGACCAGGTAAACAAGGAGAGAACCAAGAGAGACTGGTTCAACAGAGACGGGTTTAAAAAGACCCGGTTCTACAGACCGGTTCCACAAGACTGGTTCCACAAATACAGTTTCACAGACCCCGTTCTACATCCACGGTTCCACAGACACATCGGAACGTCGCGGTGGCTGGAAACAGGGAGCAGGACGGGGAGTCGGGGGATCATGGCTCGTCGTCGTCGTCGTCGTCGTCGCCCTCGTCCTCGTCGTCACGTTGTCGGCGTCGTCTTCGCCCTCGTCCTCGTCCTCGTCCTCGTCCTCGTCCTCGTCGTCGACGTCGTCGTCAGCGTCGTCGTCGACGTCGTCGTCGTCATCGTCGTCGTCGGGGTCGTCGTCGTCGTCGTCGCCGTCGTCGTCGTCATCGTCGTCGTTGTCGCACTCCTTGTCGCCTCCGCGGCCGTCGTCATCATCCTCGTCGTCGGCGTCGTGGGCGTCGTCAACCTTGTCTTCGCCGCCCTCGTGGATGTCCAGCTGGATGGGTCGCACGCAAATTTAATGTACCGAACGACCTGACTCGCCCGCCCGCTAGGGTCCTCCCGGCCGACCCACCCGTTAAGGTCCGCCCGCCCGACCCGCCCGTCAAGGTCCTCCCGACCGACGCGCTCGATGAGCTCTGCCCGCTCGACCCGCCTGCTAGGATCGTCGTCGGCGTCGTCGTCACCCACGTCATCGTCCTCGTCCTCGTCCTCGTCGTCGTTCTCGATGTGGTCGTCGTCGTCGAATTAGTCCGCCTCGTCGTCGTCGGCGTCGTCGATTTTGCCGCCGGCATTGTCGTCGTCGCCGCCCTCGTGGATATCCAACTGGATGGATTGCACACCACTTCCAAGTGCCCTGCCCGACCAAACCCGTCCGACCGCCAGGGTCCATCCGCCCGACCCGCCCGTTAGCGTCCGCCTGGCCGACCCAGCCGACCCACCGATTACAGTCCGCCAGCCCGCCCGACCCGCCCGTCAGAGTCCACCCGCACGGCCCGCCCGTTTGAACCCCTCATTAGCCTCTGGAGGGCCCCCTGGGAGCCCGCACGAGGCCCGCCAACGGTCTCCCAAGTGACCCCGCGAAGCCTCGCAAAGATAATCCAGCGGCAAGGGCGAGGGCCTCCAAGGAGACAACAAAACTGAAAACGGGGGAACGACAACGGTATAGGTACCTTTTCCTCCTCTGATCCTTAGGCCGATCGCGTGACTTCTCCTGAAGCAGAAGTGGCGTAGTTGGGGTCATACATGTCCAGCGTGGATGAGCATGATACCAGGGACCGTCCCAGGCCCAAATCGAGGAGTCCATTCTCGTTTTTCATGGCGTGAGCAGCATCGCAGTCTTGGTCTCGAGAGCATCCAGGCCACAGAGCCTCCAATGTCGTCCCAAGACGGGCGACGAGTTCCCAAGAGGAGTCCAAGAGGCCCTCAAGACGGGGGCCCTAGAGGGGGAACACGAAATGGCATTGCGAGCGTTCCGCCCCAAGATTACTCCAAGATCCCCCAGAGGCCCCCGAGACGCACCCAGACGGCCTACAGTCAGCCCCTGGGTTGGCCCCCAAGAGCCCTCCAAGAGGTCCCCGATAGACATCCCAAAACACACTGATATGCATCAGAGACGCCTCTTGGGGCCAGCCCGGGCACCGTGGCAAGCTCGGCCGAAGGCTACTTGGATAGTCGTGCCCCTCTGCTGCGCAGCAGCCTGTTTTAGATGTGCCCGTTACCAGGCTGATTCAAACTGATTGACTGCGTGGAGCTCCCCATATGTTTATATAGTTGCATGGACCCGTCCGCCGTGGGTGTTTAGACGCAAGGTTATTCGGATATACACGGGCTTGATGTATAAACGGGGTGTCGCATGGTGTGGTGCGAGTGTCAGCTAGTCTAGATATGGGAGCGCCTGAGTACGAGTGGGTCTGAGAGTGCGTAAGTCAGAGTATGAGCGAGTTTGAGTCAGAGTGGTCGGAGTGTGGGTAAGTCTGGGTGTGAGTGGGTCTGAGTGTGAGTCGAATGAGTACGAGTCAGAGTCAGAGTGGGTCTGAGAACGAGTGAGTCTGTCTACGAATGAATGGGTGGGTCTGAGTGTGAGTGATTCTGAGTGTGTTTAAGCCTGGATGTGAGCTGAGTATGAGTGTGACGAGTAAAAGTCTGAGCCTCAGTGGGTCTGGATACGAGTGAGTCTGGCTACGAGTGAGTCTGAGGATGGGTGGGTCTAAGTGTGAGTGAGTCGGAGTGTGTGTTAATATGAGTGTGAGTGAGTTTGAATATGAGTATGATGAGAGCCAGTCGGAGTACGAGTGAGTCTAAGCACGAGTGGCGTTGAGCATAAGTTAGTCTGGGACATCCTGACAATCTGGGCCCCCTTGGGGTGTCGAAACCAGCGCCTCGCCAGCGGCATCCTCAGAATCTGCTTTGAACGCGCCTCGCCCGAGACATCCTCAGAATCTGCTCCGACAGAGGAGGAGGATGCGGCAACAGAAGGACCAACCACTCGAGACATCCCCGCCAGTTCGGCGCGAATGGAAGGATGCAATACCCCCTGGCGGCCCCAATCTTGGGGGCAGACACCAACGCGTCGCTCGAAACATCCTCAAACTCTGCTCCGAAAGCGGAAGATGTTGCGCCAGCAACCCGGCAAACCGCTCGAGAAGTCCCCGCCATGTTGGCGCGAACGGGGGAGCGGGATACCCCCTGGCGGCTCCCCCTTGGGGCTGCTGAATGCCGCGCCTCGCTCGAGACATCCTCAGAAGTTGCCCCGCCAGCATCACCATCAACCATGATCATCACAACCACCATCACCATACCATAACTTCGCATAACGTAGCATAGCCTCGCCTAACATATCATATAATAACACAACGCAACAGGCCATACAACACCATACAACAGCACACCATGGTGTATCACACCATATCATAACATAAAAAGGTTATCATACAATGCAACGCACCAATATATCATACACTGAGACGGAAGAGGAGGCGGGTGTGTGACGGAGTTGGCGCGGTCGGATTAATTATTCACTGCGTGGAACTCCCCATGTGTGCATAGAGTCGCATGGACCTGTCCGCAGTGAGTGCCTATACGCAAGGATGTTCGAATACTCACGGGCTTGAGCATTGACGGTCCGGAAGCAAATTTCACTGTGAATGAGTGAATGAACGGAATGTCAATGAGTCTCAGTAGTACGGGCGCGTCTCTGCGCGTGAGCCTGGGGCCTCCTGAGGCCTCCTGAAACTTCCTGGTGCTTCCTGGTGCCTCCTAGAGTCTCTTGGGGCCTCCTGTGGCCTCTTGGGGCTTCCTGTGGCCTCGTGTGGCCTCCTGGGGCCTCCTGGAGCATCCTGGAACCTCCCGGGGCCTCCTGGGGAGGATTCGTGGCCCAGGGGATGCCCAAATCTAAAGGAACAAACGTACATAAAACACTGCGGATTGGACCCGCATGGGAAGGGCAATCTGTAGGAACAAACGTAGCACGCCAAAGATTCGTGCCCCAATGGAGGCCCAATATGTAGGAACATACGTAAACACTTCGAATTGGATACAGAGGAGAACGGCATGTATACATACGTCAAACTCCAATGGTTCGTGCTCCAAATGAAGCCCGATCTATAGGAGCATACGTAAAACACATGGGATTGGAGCCACCCCTGTGGCCTTCTGAGGCCTCCTACTCCAGGGGCCTCCTGGTGCCTCCTGGCGCGTCCTGTGGCCTCCTGGTGCCTCCTGGCGCTTCCTGTGGCCTGCTGGAGCATCCTAGAGCCTCCTGAGGCCTTCTGGAGTTTGCTTGGGCCTCCTGGAGCCTCTTGGGGCACCCTGTGACCTCCTGAGCCTTCCTGTGGCCTCCTGATGCCTCCTGGGATGTCCTGTTGCCTCGAGCCTCCTGTGACATCCTGGGGGGGATCCGTGACCACGGGTCTGGCCACCAAAATTGGCAACCCGATCAAGGCATCCTCGAGTTCTGGCCCCCCTCGGGGGGGCGAACATGAGCGCATCGCCCGAAACATCCTCCACATCTGCTCCGAAAGCTGGGGATTCTGCGTATGCAAACAAGCAAACCGCTCGAGACAACTCCGCCATTTTGGCGCGAACTGAGTAGCGCAATATACCCTGACGGCTCTCCCCTGGGGCTGCTGTAAACCGCGCCTCGCTCGAAGCATCCTCAGCATTTGTTCCGCCAT